CAGCACTTATAACGAGCAATAGACACTAAAACATAACTATAGTAGACCGAGGCGAATCGGATCACTTTTTCTTTGAGGTTGAGTAAATCATACTAAAGTGCTACATAATGTTATTTTTATTGATAAAATCGTATGAAGTAACAATTACCTATGAAATAAATATTTGTAAACTTAAATCATACATATATTCTCTTAATTAGCTATTAAAAACTAAAAAAAAGGAAAATATCCTATTCGCCCCAACTTTCGGGGTGAATCGGATCGTGCACAAATTATAACAAAATTTTAAGGTATAGTGTTAAATAACTTTGGAATCAGTAAAAATATATAATAATAAGATCAATTTTAATTGGCACATAATTCACATATATATTATGGTCCTTTTTTTCTGTTAGCTCGTGAACGGTACTGAAAAACTCTTAGCAGCTTTACGCAAGGTCAACTCTTTGTTCTGGACTTAATTTACAGCCTCTTTCATTTTTTTTCTTGACACCATTCTCCGGTGGTCATGAAATAAATATGAATCAATAACCTCAAACATGTAATAAATCAGTTTAAAAGTATCATCCAATTCGCCCCTAAGGATATGATCCGATTAGCCCCATAATTAAGACTTTTGAAATAAATATTTTAGACGTTAACCTCTAAGATTATACTTAAAAGCGAATTGGTTCTTCAATATTAACACCTTGCTTAACAATACAAAACCAATGTAGTTAAATTTTAAGACAAATCCGTCATATGACACAAAGAAATCGTAAGTACGTAAACTTAGATGAGCGCCAAATTGCGACACACACAAAAAACCGAGTGGCTGACGAGCGGCATTGCCACTGATCCGCAAGCGCGATCGAAATACTGCTACTTATGTCGGGAGGTGCTCAGTAAATGGAGAGACACAAAACGCCGGTTGAGTGCGTTCTATGTGAATGTGATATTTGAATTATCAACACATTTCTTATTTTGATCCGATTCGCCCTGTGATCCGATTCGCCTCGGTCTACCCTATAGTAATTATTTATATGTTATTGTATTATATGCGAGTATAAAATTATAATTAAAAATCAGAAGACTGGAGCGGAATGCAGTTGGAAACAAATAAAAATTACATACATAATACATACTGAAATGAAACAGGCACAATAAACTTCGCATTAGATGTCGTAAATATACAATGAGAGAATGAGAGCGAGACATATATATGCCATCAAAAACATAAAACAAGACTCAAAAAAAAAGTCTCGCAACGCAGTTCTACCGTAAAAAGTTGTGAGATCAATGTAATACTGAGTCGGTCAATTTATTCAGTCCCTAGGGATTTATTTTCTTAATTTATTACGTAATTAGCTTACCTCTATGGTTATGGTTTGCCGTTTGTGGACTCAGTTTCAGCACGTAGACGCTCAATAGGTCCGTTGTACGTAGGTCCTGGCTAACTCCTTCCAAAAGCACGGAAGCTTCCTGGGCACTTCGCAGGCTTCACGGAGCGACCTCACTGTTCCGAGGATTTCTGTACGTTGTTTAGCCACAGCCACGCATTCCAGGACTACGTGGGTGACTGATTCCTCTGCGCTGAAACAGCCTTTGGACATGGGGCTGTCTGTAGCACCTAGGACAAAAAGATGTTTATTAAGGAGGCTATGGCCCGTAATTGCCCCTATCTTTGTTTTGAGATTAGTTCTGTTTAAGTTTAGACGTTGGTTTGTCATTTTTTGGTTTAGCTAACCTCTTATCTACATCTTATAGTGACTATATCAATATAACAAATTATATATTACTAATCGTACTATCAATACTCGTTGAAATATACCATGTTTAATGTTTATACAACCCCTGTTTGGTAACTGACAATTCAGGCTTTTAGTTTTATCCATAATGATGTAAATGGCATTGTTTTGAGATTAGTTCTGTGAAAGTTTAGAAGTTGCTTTGTCATTTTTGGGTTTAGCTAACCTAAGAGGTTATAGTGACTATATCAATATAACAAATTATATTACTAATCGTACTATCTATACTCGTTGAAATATACCATGTTTAATGTTTATACAATCCCTGTTTGGTAACTGAAAATTCAGGGTTTTAGTTTTATCTATAATGATGTTATAGGGGGTTGAACATGGCCCGAACAGCTTCAAAAAAGTATGGTACGCTTTTTTGCTCAACATATTTATAACTACATAGTACTAGTCATTATAAAACGTATGTAAAGAAATGTTTTATGTTAATTAGAATTAAGATATTCATGAGAGGTTATGTTTTTACAGGTGAGAGGCTTTAATTGTTGTGGATAAATAGATTAACTTTTCAGAAACAAAAATACGTAATCCGAGTTTTGTAAATGAAACTTGGTGTTTTTAAGAGAAACGCAATTTCATCTTTTCTTATTTCAACCTTATAATTTGCAATATACATTAATTTGTATATTGCAAATTATAAGGTGTCATTTAATAAAAATTTAAACATCGACCCGCCCCGCCCCGGCTTTGACTTTCTTGACAACTTATATGTATGTATACCCACCTTCCACGGTTTATTGCGAATAAACAGACACTGTAACGACATGAAAGTAAAGTATAACACAACAACTGAGGTCTTTGTGTTATATTTTACAATATCTAGTGATAGTAGTAGTAAAAAATGAATAAAATGTCTATCAAGGATGTTGTATCTACGTTTAAATCCCTTTTACGATCCAATCAAATATTCAGTAATAAACTTAACGAGGCGTATTCATCCCTAACTAATTAGATAATTAATATGCTGAGCACACAGTTAACGTTTTTATGATTTAAGCCATAATTGTTAATTAAAGTAAAAGTCATCAAAGGAAATCCTAAAATATAATAAAAATCGTTTTAACGTTGTAACATTAGTTAAAAGTAGAAAACAGTTTGCATAACATATTCTTCATTAGATTGTTGTTCTGTGCATAAAGTTATATTCTTTTATTTGGACATGTACCATGCATTGAGAAACAAAACGTATCTATTTAGATTTAATAAATACTTATTTAAATAAATTTGCAGACGCGATGTTATCTCTTGATTAAACTTTTTTTCTTTAAATGTGTAAAAAATACCCTTTGGAAGTTGATGTTACAGTAAACTCGAGTTAAAGAAAAGATTTACACTCTCTTGAAAATTGCTTTAATGACTATAAAAGAGAAAACAAAGAGCGACAAAGGCGAGAAAAATGATGTCCTAAACGTTTCAAAGTAGATAATGCGCCTTAAAATGCATTTCTTTTAGAGCAATTACGGTTCTCCGTAAACCAAATTATTCTAAGAAAAGCGAAATGAAAATGAATGAAAAAAAAATATGCCGATGTTTCGCGTTCTTTCTAAGTGTCAACCGAAGTCGGCGCGAACACGGTGACTCTTAATTACTCCGCTTAAGCGATCACCTGTCTAATAGTATAAGATCCCGATATACAACGACCTTCACCGAGATGCTTATTTAATGAAACGTATTTTATATTTAATTTAATATGTCAATAAATATAATCAATATGGGTTGCCTAGCAAATTTCAGTCCAGAGTATGTTTAATTAATGTTTAAAAAAATATATTTTTTTTATAATTTGCATGTAGTAAATTTTTTTAATTTTTTCAATCAATATTTTTAATCAGGGTAGTATTATATATGTATCACTATAACCTTCTTTTTTAATAAAGATGTATATATATTTTAGTGTCACATAAAAAATATACACATAAATAATTAATTGATTAAAAACAACCTAACGTTTGCATATTCTATGGGCTTCATACTTTCGATTGGTATAGAATTTATCTAATAATCATACCGGTGAAATGTTTAAAAAATTTTTTTTTAATATTAATTAAAATACTCTGGACTGAAATTTGCTAGGCAACCCATATGGATTATATTTATTGACATATTAAATTAAATATAAAATACGTTTAATTAAATAAGCATCTCGGTGAAGGTCGTTGTATATCGGGATCTTAGACCATAACTTAGTTATCAAAATACATACAATAAAATAAAATGTGAGTGTGTCTAACGATATGACCGTGTAGCCTTATTAATTAATGACTGACTATGTGTGCAGAGTTGTTGCATATAATGGTTGGGGCATCCACTCGTTACTTTCAGTAAAACCTACGATACTGAGTACCTCTTTTAATCGATTTACGCATTTAAACTCAAGAACATACGTGAAAGATTAAGGCAAAATAGTACTATTGCTAATCAGATACAAATGCCAAAAAACCTGACTTAACGCGTGTACCTATATGTTGAACCAGACAAATTTTCGTAGCAATCCGATCCCATATTATTTTCATTTCAAAATACTGTTTTTACGACTAGCAATTTGAACAAAACAACCTATCCAATATTGCAAACTGGCAATTACCTTATGTAAGGAAATTACACGTTACGCGCTAAATTTCATACCATTTAGTACAAATAACAAAAATTCTAGTAAAAATATTGACATGTGCCCGCCCAACCTATTATAAGTAATTTTCTTTATCAATATAGACAAATATAATGCTTGTCGAATACGTTTATCGCATATTTATAGAATCTCTTCATTCAGATGCAACTTGCACATTCTTTGGTCTGCAATGGACAAGTCTAGCAAGTCAAGCCTGATATTGATATTTGATATTGAAGATACTATCGGACCCGTTGTCCTGTACACATGTATTAAATAAAAAAAACATAATTGTAAATCTAAACCATTCTCGAATTCACTTAAATCGGTCCAGCGGTTAAAGAGGAGTTTAACAAACACAAGATTATATGCTCGTATAAAGTAATTAATAAATACTTTGCCAATAAAGTAACGTTTATAACGGTTTCTGTTACCTATAACTTAAGCTATCATGAAACTATTAAGTTTATTAATTTAAAATTTAAATAATAAGTTTAGGCAAAGACGCGACGAAAGTCATACTAAGCTCTTTTAAAAGCCTTGGTCCGAAAACGCTAAGCACATTTCTTTATACCTTCGCAAACAAAATACTGAAAATGCTTACAAAGCTCGAAGATCCTTTACATCCTTTATTAGGTCCAACACTTAAAGGTTTAGGGGCTTGGGGTATGTGGCAAGCGGAAAGAGGCATAAAAAAAGTCTTCTACAATATTGTCCACATTCTTGCGACCCTTTTCGTAATTAGCCAATACGTCGAACTGTGGTTTATTCGGTCTAAATTAGATTTGGCTTTACGAAATTTGTCTATATCGATGCTCAGTACCGTGTGCGTTGTTAAAGCTGGAACTTTCGTATATTGGCAGAACGATTGGAGGAATGTAATTAACTTCGTATCTTTGACGGAGTTGAGTCAATCGAAAGACAAGTCAACGAAGCATATAAGCCGGGAATATAGGAAGTATTCGAGACTTGTGACGTATTTCTATTGGTCTTTAGTTGCCGCTACCGTTTTTACTGTGATTTTAGCACCGTTAGTGAGTTTCCTCTCGTCTCCGATGTATAGAGAACGAATAATTAATGGAAGTGCGCCGTATCCAGAGATAATGAGCTCCTGGGCTCCCTTTGATAAGTCGAGAGGACTAGGCTATGTGATAATGGTTATCGAGCATACATTGATCTGTTTCTATGGAGGCGGTATTGTTGCAACTTATGATTCTAATTCCGTTGCTTTGATGACGTTTTTTTCGGGTCAACTTGAGATTTTAAAAGTGAAATGTAATATGTTATTTGGAGACGGAATGAATGTTGTAAGCTATGAAGAAGCTGTGTCAAATATCAAGAAGTGTCATTATCATCATATCAATTTAGTCAAGTAAGTATATAATGATTTTTAATTAATTGGATATTACATATATGTGCTCCAAATATATTTTGATACACTAAGGGTCTGTTTCACAATGTACGGATAAGTTCTACATAAGTTCCAAATTAGCAATTTATTACTTATTGGTAGGATAAACACTATTGTTGCGTTTTACGACTGGCAATAGCGCTATTCGTCACATAAAGTCCATCATTAGCTATGAGTCCGATGAATGTCAAATAGCACTATTTATCTTCCAAATAATTTATGTGTTGCATAGCTATTTGGTACTTTATCCATACATTGTGAAACAGACCCTAAGTGAAAAACTTAACTTACTTTCAAATAACTTATACTGCTAGACACCTAGTCCAGTGGTTTTTAGTAACCCACGATTTTGTATGACGACAGCACAAATTAAAATAATAAGTTTCATTGTTGCAATTTCAATTTACAGGTATTCCAAATTATTGGACTCCCTCCTATCTCCAGTAATGTTTCTATACGTCATCATTTGTTCACTTATGATTTGTGCGAGTGCAGTTCAATTAACAACGGTAAGTTATTATTTGGTAAAAAGCTTTCTGATTCTAAAAGGTAATGTAGATAGGAGCGGATGGTTTACTTTGCAAGGAAGGCGAAGTACCTACTGCAATGTGATGTTTTGATTTTATTTGGAAATGGCTTTCTAAATCCTAGTCACTAGTTTCTCTTGCTTAGGTTCCTATTGGCTAGAATAACCAAGTAAGGATGGCTCAACATGGTGAGGAATATTGAGCGACGAGAATTACTCAAAGCCATGTTACGCAATTAAGACAACAAAAAAGAAATCAGCAACGCTACAACCTCTTTAGGGCTGGGCCTCAGATTTCTGAATCTGATTCATGCTGAGTGCCTGACACACGCCGTCGACTTTTTGGGTCTTTGACATGTCGGTTTCCTGACGATGTTTTTCTTCATCGTTCGAGCGAATGCTAATGCGCACATAGGAAGAAACTCCATTGGTGCACAGCCGGGGATCGAACCTACGACCTCAGCTCGCTGAAGCCACTAGGCCAACACTGCTTTACGAATTAAGACAGCAACGCAAGTAATAAATACATTTTGTTTTCAGGAAGGCACCACAACTGTACAACGAATATGGATTGCGGAATATTTAATGGCTTTGATTGCTCAGCTGTTTTTGTATTGCTGGCATAGCAATACTGTTTTATATAGAGTAAGTTCAATACTTAAGTGAACATTTTTCAGTTTCACATTTAAACATAAGCAACGTTTTGGTATGGAAAGTATTGATGGATAACTTGATTGCGAAGAGGCTGTTTTACGATCAGTAAAATCGATAAATAAATGTAACGTCCAAACGACGTGCTCCAATTCTTTTTGTAAATTGTGAGGTTAATTTTCACGTATTAAATCTGCGTCTTCGGCATTTTTGTAAAGTCTGAGGCTTATAACTGTAACAATACAAAAGTTATCAGATCGGGGCTTTTGCTGTATTTAATTGAAGATTAAAATACGACTTTAATAATTGTATAATATAGGTAGTTTCAATTAATAACTGTTGAGAAACAAATATTTTACTAACTTCAGAGCCATCTATTATATTTTTAATGATTTACCTTAACGTTGAGAACTATTAAAGGTACCTTTATTATGAGATGTTGTTTTGTTTTAGAGTTTGAAATTAGATGACGGTGTATACGGAAGTGCTTGGTGGTCTCATGGTGTGAAGATAAGACGCTGTGTTTTATTGCTTGGAGGGCAATTGAATAAAACAATCGTGTTTACCGCTGGTCCATTTACAAGACTAACACTTTCAACATTCGTCACGGTAAAATATGACGTAAAATTTGTTATTATATTTTTATAAAACATTTCGTGATATTTTATTGACTATTATAAATTTAGATTGTTAGCGAAACAGCTTTAGAGTAAATAGGTATCAAAACCTGATCGGTTTAACAAATATCATTCACCAACAAAGTAATTTATTTTCTCCGTAGACCGTACCCCATAAGAAGACTGCCACTACCAAGCTCATGCATGCACAAGTTTTGGAAACCAAAAGAAAAGAAAGCATATTTTAAAATATTTAAATATATAAGAGACAATATATTGGTGTTCTTCTTGGTAGAATTTTTTATATTAGATAATTTTAATACTCTAACTAAGTGCGTCTCCTAAAATATATTAATACTATTGAACGCACATATAAAAATATAACTCAAAATACTTGTTACAGATACTGAAAGGCTCCTACAGCTACTATACCCTATTAAACTCCAAAGAAGATTAATTAAAATACACTCACAGAATTGAAAATTATGTAGTACTTAACAGAATACTAATTAGTTTTATTAAACCATAATTTTCTATTTTAGCGCCACCTACATTTAGTTATTGAAATTATAATAACATTCAGTTTTAAAACAGACCAGTTTCTTGTTAATTCCCTAGATGGCACTGCACCCATTTAATTTAAAGGACAGAATTTATAGTACAATATTGAACAATAAAATATTGTCGTAGTTTTGGTGTCTTTACTTTCTTACTCACTTTTATTACTTATATTAAAATGCCATCGGGAAGGATATTGTTTCCTCGGGTGAGTTTTCTAAGATGGCCTATCTTAGCCAGAAACCCATTTTTTTTTAATATGACTCTCATGTTTTGTGGAGTATAAATAAATTTCGTTTCAAATAACCGGGTAGAACCCGGAACCTTCTCTCCAAGCTGAAGCACCTAGGCAATTGACGATTCAACAGTAGTTTGTAATAATTTATTTCAATAAAGTTTTATGTCACACGTTTAGGCAACATTTGGAAGAATAGAGGTATTGGTATCATATCCTAAATGAGATTGGTACAAGCTAGATTCTAAGCTTTTGATATTATGTGTTTCTAGAACAGGGATCTTGACCCAAGTCCCATACCATGCGTGGAGGTGTCGAGGCAAAAGAATATGAAAAAGAAAGTGAAAGAGCCTCAAGCCTCTGCAAGGCTCTGTAACGAAACCGAAGTCGACAGATGCTGCTCCTTGCTGACCGCTATGCCCAGACATGAGTTCCTAACTTTACCTTCACTAAGAGGCAGCGATTTACTGTCCTAGGTTTTGGTTTTAGTTACTATCTTCGAAGCTTGTCCTATTTGAGTTACCTGGGGAATAAATGAGGTAAAAACTTAAATACGACTATTAAAAACCCTGTAGGTTAGTAGTTCAGTTTGGGATAATTGCGATAAAAAAATATCTTGGAAATTTCACACCTAATGATTAATGTATACAGTAAGTGCGTTTTCGATTAAAAGTTAAATTTATTGCATTCACTAAAAGTGGAAATTATTGACTACGATGGGCCATTTTTTAAATATTGCCGATTCGAAATTTTCACTCCGAAATGGAAATGGCTTCCAATTTCACAAAAGTGTTTACGTCGTAAATAAAAGAATTGTATTGCTAACATGATGAATTACGTTCACTTCATGAACCACTACTATTCAGTGATCAAAATAATTCGTTAAATTGAAGAGAGCTTGACCTAATAGAATTGTATTGTTTTTCGCATACATTAATTGATATTTTTGTTAACCTAAAAGTTTCAGTCCGTTGAATGTGATTTATTAATTTTAGTTCTAACATTCTGATAAACTTATACATATTTGAAATCGTTTTAAAAATTTCTAATAATAAACTTACATACAATATAGCTTATCAATTATTGCAATTTGAAACACGCATGACAGTGACATGATGAAATGACTTGCATTTAGCTTAAAGAAACAGTAAAATCTCAATCTGTTCTAATCTACACGCTCTTTATTTATAGTTTGTCATGATGATTAAATCAAATAAAACCGGCGCCGGCGTTGATACGTCTTGTTTAGTTTATTTACGGCTTTGTGACTAAGTGGTATGTATTTTGGAGTTATTACCATCGAACATGTATTACTGATTGATAAAGTTAAAATTATTTAATTTAAATAAATAAGTTTTAATAGTCGTTAATCACAACCAATTTTTATTTCTAAAATATGATTTACTTTAATACGCAGTATAATACAATTTTTTTTATTATACCATATAAGTAGGTACTTTAAAAATAATACCGGTTGGTAAAATAATTTTATTTTTACATTATTCGCTTAAATGTTCCTTTATTTAATATACGTAAAGAAGTTTTATTAAGATGATGTTCGTATTTTTATCGATCTCACGGAACGTCCCATCGCGCAAAGACCTCGCCAGGCATTCATTAATTGCAATAAGAAATTGAAACTTAATGAGAGATATTAAATTATTGGCATACTTATAAGAAATAAAATCTTGTGGGATCGCTTTTTCATATTCTTACTAAAAAATATGCAATGCATTAACCTTTAAGTCAAGCCGACGTTTGTAGTTATACATTAAAAAAAATATTATTCAATAAAATGTAGTGAAAGCTTATGAGCAGTAACATTTTCCCTCGACTGTCATTTGTCAAAGACGTGAAATCGGAATTACGTGTCGCCTGTCTCTGATTGGACTAGAGATTTTCGTAATTTTCATGTACCTATAAATTCCGGAATGTTATTTATTTAGATTAAACTAAGTAAAAAAATACATTAAATGTAGTTTAGTTTCATGTTTTTAATTATTAGTCTCGTTAGAAAATATATATAACTATGTATATAGGTCAGTAACTTTTAGGTCTAATAAACAATATCCTGTTGCTTTTTTCAAATAAGTCGCTGCTTTGTGCGGAAATGCTAAAAAATAAAATATATATAATAAACTCTGATTATTAGATTATTTAATGTATTTTAATCTCGACTGTTTATGGTAATATTGCATTTAACAATTTTATAATGAGCTTATTGTATTTCATAGATAACACTACCAAACATGGTCCTCACATTGTATAAATGCGAGATAAGCGCTCCTGTCAGGTCTGTCCTAATGGTAATCGAACACTTGAAGCTGCCAGTACAATTTGTTGACGTGAACTTTATGAAGGGAGAGCAACTTACAGAGGAGTTTAAGAAAGTAATATTTTTAAATTATTTAAATAACTAACGTAGACTTCTACGGATAATAAAGAGAAGAGGACTAAAGATAGACCCGCGTTTTTTACCTGGTAACCAAGTTTGGCCATAGTCTAGCGGTCTTATTAAGTGGCAGCTAGGTGAGGGGTACCGGGTTCGATTCCCGGTTCGAGGACATGTTTTAATTTAATTTAAATTTTTTCTCGGCCTTTGGGAGGGTTGTGCGGTACCGGGCGAGTGCTTAAACCGTACATGGAGGACACGGTTGAATTTATAAAGACTAGCACGAATTATAAAAATCCAATACTTGACCCTGGCTAATGCACAAATCGTGCCAGAGCCATAAAAATAAAACAAATAATTATAAATGTGAGGCAATGGTTCTTTTGTAAAATGTTTTTAACATCTACTTCTTATATTCAGATCAATCCACAACACACTGTTCCTACGTTGATAGATGATGACTTCATCCTTGGAGACAGGTATATAGGCTTTTCTTTATTTGCATTACGATTAGCTGATGTTTTTTATGAACGAACATTAAATATAATCATCCGTATCATAAGAAGCGGGCTGTAGATAGTATAATAGTCACGATGTTTTACAAATAATGGTATATGCGCAAAAATATAGAGGGCTTGTGATGATGATGTGCTTTTCAATGAATAAATATTCGTGAACAGTATGTTTGGATTACAAAGTTCTGTAACTGGTTATTGTAATACAGACATAATCGTAGTATGGTCATGTATGCGTATACGTTAATTGATCATTTTGACAGTTGGAAAGTATCGACTTACCATACAATTTCATACAAATTCTATTGGGATAATGCGTTCGTTTAGATTCAAGAACGCCTAACGAGTTATAATGTTTTCGTCGATCTATACTTATCTATTACCATATCTTATCGATTTTATGTATTGTTTGTGCTAATGCCCCAGCTGTTTGAGATTGAGACTATAAAATGAAAGTCATAGCAATCGTCTGAATTTGATTACCTTATATCATAATTATTAGTCCAATGACAGCGCGATATGATTTGTGTTTCCGTTTGGACTACAAACAAACGAAACGCGCCATCGTGTCATTTGTTTTAAGTTCCTCCGAAGATAATTTTTTCGCCAGAGATATTTAGGACCTACGGCTCATACAGTGCACGTTAACGTCCAATACATACTGATATGAAAAAGTCTAACTAATAAAGTATTTTTAGTTAAATTTAACATCTTCTTTAATTTCAGTCATGCTATTTCGATGTATTTAATAAACAAATACGCGAAGGATGATTCTCTTTACCCCACTGACCCTAAACTAAGAGCCATTGTGGACCAACGTCTGCACTTTGACAGTGGTATCTTGTTTCCAGTATTGAAATATGGTTTCGTAAGTAGATAATAACTAAGTCATCATTAGTTCGACCATTAGTTTGATAAGATATTACGCTAACACGTCACGTATTTTGTATCAGTAAAAATCTTACAGTGTCCCCCAGTTGTTACCACGCAATACTTAAAAGGCATACAAATGTATTACCATGACTATTTCGCTTTATAACCTGTTGAAATAGTTTTGAAAAATTAACGATTAATTTTTCTAGGCGCCACTATGTATGAAATTTGTTACTACATCTATATTTATTTATTTATTTACACTTCGTTGCAAATAAAAGAAACACAATACATAAAAATTATAAGGGATGCAACGGGCGGCCTTATCGCTAATAAGCGATCTCTTCCAGGCAACCCTAGTCAAAGAGAAAAACTAAAAAAAAAAGAAACATGATGCGTGCGAGAAGTGCAGAACCAAATGTTATAATTAAAAATATATATTTAGAACCTTAATCTAAAGTAATACAAAAGAAAATATTAGTAACAGACTAAAAACTTAAAAGCTAATCTTACAAATACATGAACAGCGAATAGTGATGCAAAAGGAAACAACAGAAGAGTTTTAAAAGATGACAGAGAGTAGCCAATCGTACGGAGTCGGGCAGCCTATTCCACAACTTAATAGCGGATATCGTTAATGAATTGCCTAAGAAGGATGAAGTGTGGGATGGAATTTCCAATAAACATCTATTAGAAGAGCGTAACATATAGTTAGAAGGACCTAAGAATTTGAAGTGATTTTTGAGATAAGAAGGGGTTTTCGGATTGAAAAGAATTGAGTATAGAAGTTGAAGAAGATGAGCGTGACGTCTGAATCGAATAGGTAGCCACCCCAGCTGCCTGCGGAATTTAGACACCTGGTCATATTTTCTAAGACCAAATATGAAACGTATACAGAAATTCTGCAGGCGTTCGATCTTGTCAAGTAGCTCTTCGTTCAAATCAGAGGAGCATGAGTCCGCATAATCGAGAATAGGAAGCAGAAGAGACTGCGCTAACATAGTTTTAATGCGGATAGGAAGGAAATTAGAAAGACGTCTCAGAGTAAAAGAAGCGGCGTAAAGTTTACGGCTGATCTCCTTTACGTGATGACCCCAGGAAAACGTTTGGTCGAAGAAGACCCCAAGGTTTTTAACAGTCTTATTGAGGGCCAAGGCCACACCATCAAGGTTAACACCAGGAAGCTGAGCCCATTTGACTCTTGAAATAAAGAAAGGGCTTCCGATGATGATGACTTGACTCTTGGCAGGATTAATTTGAAGACCAAAGTCTTTAGGTACTCCAGTTGGTTATGTTTTCAAGATCATCATTCATCGCCTGTATTGCAAGAGGAAGCTCATCTAGTGTAGACTGAACGTAAATTTGGAGGTCATCAGCGTAAAGGTGATAATCAGCCGAAAGATGTGCAGTCAGGGTGTTGATAAAGATAGAAAAAAGAAGAGGTGAAAGAACGCCACCCTGCGGAACACCAGTACTTATATTATTCCGACGACCGTTAAGATAGCTATGAAACCAGTCAATAGCGGATGGACAGATATTCATAGAGCGAAGCAACTCAAGCAGAATTTCAAAGTTCATATTCCTGCTTTTTAATAATTTCTTCTCAAAGATCATTCATTTTCGGAATGACTATTATTTTATTGATATATAGGCCATAACCCTGGAGGGTTAAAAAAGTTTACTCATGCAGTAGCAT